CATTTTATTTCTGTATATTTATTGTACAATAATTAAAAAACATGATCTACCCTATTAAATAATACCTTATGTAAATATTAAGCATTTCTATGCAAAAATATTGACATACTCCATTCTCGTCTGATCCCACGGACAGCTATAAAATGTAGCAAACTATTAAAATTTTTAAATTTATATAAGAATTTATTTTTAATTTGTATAATTTTTTTATTTATAAGAAATATTTTATTTAAATGAATAATATATAAACAAAAACTTAACAAAAAACCCACAAAGGCGAAGTTTTTGCATGTCGACTTCATCACATATAAAAACATTGTTACAGACTTTGTATTTATAAAACTTTAAATATATGAAAAGAAAGGGTTTTGAAAATTATAAAAAATATATATATATATATTTATCTATATATATAATACTGCTACAAAAGTATAATAAATACATTATTATTTACATTTTAAATGCAGAATTCACAGTGCTACTGCTAGTGCTTGTGGCCACTACACAAAAATTCACACAACGCTTGTTTCTTTTTTTTTCTTTTTCTATGATATTTGTTACCCGGCATAGACCATTTACTAAAAAATAGACGCATTTTTTAATAAAGATCCATCTAGTGCAACATTCATTAAGCTTTTTGTAACTTTCCATTGATAAAAAGTCATTTAAAGTGTAGAAGTCAGCGAGGCCTCTAGTCGCCCAAAAATTCAACCGGAAAAAGTTTTAGGCGACTATGGTCGCCTGGGCGTTTTAAGTGGATATGAAAATGTTCAACTGTACAAAATCTGCAGTCGATTTGAAGGTTCGAACTTTTATGAGGGACAGGTCATATTTTTAAACATTATTTTTGATAATATATTTTACTTACTTGTAATAGACTTTTATTTAGCATTTAAATGATTTTTTAGGTCATAAGGACTTTGGTAAAGCGTAGTCCTTTCTACCAGCCTTAGGTATAAATAGAACTTTGACAATTGTCCATCCTTCTGGAATATATCCCCAGGCAAAACTTGCTCTGAAGATTTTCACCAGATTGGGAAGAAGGATGTCGATACCCCTCTGCAGTTGGATGGGAATTATTCCATCCTCCCCGCTTGTTTTAAATGGTTTAAAAGAGTCAAAAGCCCACTGCACCAGGTTTGGTCTTATCTTTGCAGCCCTACACCAGGCCTCATTACAAGGCCTTTGTAGGGCTCTGAAATAATTTAAGGCTGAAGTCTTGTGTGACCCTGGGAAATGGGTTGACGCTAGTAACTCCAATGTTTCTGTTTCACTATTAGTGAAGTTACCATCATGTTTTTTAAGAAGCCAGATCTGATTAGGTTTAGCTTTCAATAGCATTTTGTGTAGTCTTGCATTGCGAGGCAAAGACTCAACTTCCTCGCATAGCTTCCTCCACAATGCTCTCTTGGCTTTCCTAATTTCTTTATTATATTCAATTAAGGCTGCACTATAAATACATATAAATTTATATATGTATATATTCATATGCTTATATATGTATGAGTTTATATATATATATTTGTACATACTTCTTATTACACCTACCTCTTTTATCTCTGCACTACTCTAAGGTAGACTGGTAGATAATGCCTCAGGCATTAAGTCCGCCTATATACATCTAATGTTTATATGAAGTTAAATAACTAAAAATAAATAAATATCCCACTTTTTAGTTTTATTAGCCCTATTAAACCGTTACCTGGTCTTTTCCCTAAGTTCTTTTAGCTTAGTACTCCACCAAGGAACTTTTCATGTTGAGTTCTTGGTTTTGACAGGAAAACTGTTCTCCAAGGCTTCACGGATACCTACGGTTACTGTCTCCGTCGCTAACTCCGGACCTTCAATCGTTTTGATGCGTTTAGGAAATGTTTCCAAATTCCTCCTTAGGCTATCTCTGTAGATATCTTAGAAGGTCGCTTTTGGATCCCTAAAAGCAACGGTTTCATAGGTTGGTGATGCTCCAATCACAAACTTAATGTGTTTGTGATCAGACATCGAGTTTTCACTACTAACATGCCAGTCATTTATCTGCCTGGATATGTTTTAATAGTAGCAAATGTTTAACACTTCTTGCCTAGCACTCTTAACAAAGGTTGGTGTAAACCCTAAGTTTAGGCTTACTAGGCGGTTAGAGATGAGAAAATCATAAAGACTCACCTCTTTTGTTGATGTTGTGATGCTAATGCTCACCACACAGACTGGACGACACCAGCGGAGACCGTCGGACCGAGGCGAGATCAGCGCCTTGGATCTTCGTCACTGTCACTGATGGCGTTCCAGTCTCACCCCGAGAGGTGGAGGGCTGGGGGGATCGGAGTTGGGGCGGTTCAGGCTCCATTGCCGTGTCAGAGCCTCCCCTGACTCTAAAAATTATCATTTTAAAGCCAATGACGACTCTTCCGCCTGCCTTCTGAAGGGCCTCTGCCGATAGGTCGTCCAGAGAAAAGGTTACTAGGAACCCATTCTCCTCGTCCCTACGGTGGATTCTCCAGAGCTCGGTATGAAGCCCTTCGTTTTGTGCCCTTAACAGCCGCCTCCTCTGGAGAGTCAGCTACGCTGCGGGGCAAATATGTAATACCCAGTGAGGCTTAGGCAATTCGCCCTCGGGTACCTCCGGCCAGGGTTTCAGTTTTCCGGTCTCACCCACAATCCAGTCCTGGCTTGCCTTATTCAGGCACGTTACCAGAATACAACCTGGCTTGTGAGTGAAACCAGAAAATTTTGGTCCCATTCCCGGCTGCGCCCCACAGGCCGTCTTAGCGATGGCCCGTGTTAGTGCCCGGGGGCCAGCCGCATCTGCTCCACACTCATAGGATTCGAATTGTAAATTCCCACACGCGCGGAGCTAGCTACGGCACTGAAGCTGATCTTTGGGGGACTCTTCCTCAGACAGACTACGTTTTTTCGCCTTTGGAAGTGGGGGAGGTTTGGGCAGAGGAATTACTATTTACTAAATATACCCGAATCGCCCTGGTCTCGGGTAGGCACCGGTTGTGACTAAACTCCCTCCAGCCACGCATCCAACGGCACAGTACGATTGACACCTTGGATTGGGTTAAGATGGGAAAAAGGGGGTGGGATTAAAGATAAGAAGAAGAGGATCGTCAAGTGTTTCTGTTCTGTCTGTTTCCTATTGATCCAGACCAATTAACAGGCGGCAACCACGTGAAGGAAGAACTCCTCAGACTTGTACTGGGGATCACCACGACCTGCGCTCTCCCCCAGAGCCATTCGCCAGACTGCTTGCCGGACAGGAGAGCAGAATTTGTGTTAATCTAGTCCTACTGATAATATCAAAAAAATTAGGAGTAGACTAAGCCCCGTCCCTCCTACTCCCTAGGCGTAGTCCCAAAATCATGGAAGACGGCTTTCGTTCACCCGATCCCTAAAAAAGGCGACCGCTCAGACCCGTCCAACTACAGGCCTATCGCTATCACCTCCTTGTTCTCAAAAACAATGGAGTCCATTGTAAACTTCCAGCTCATGAGGTACCTTGAGGATCACCAGCTGAGGAGGCGGGCCGATCAGCTGGTGATCTTCTAGTCTACCTGACTCATAGATGGGCGGAGGCAGTAAAGTCCAAGGGGGAGGCATTGGCCGTTAGTTTGGACATTGCGAAGGCCTTCGATCGGTTTTGGCACAAAGCGTTTCCTTCGAAGCCGCCTTCCTATGGGCTTCCCGAGAAATTGTGCAATTGAATCACAAGCTTTCTTGCATATCGGAGCATCAAGGTCGTTGTAGACGGTGTAAGCTCCGATTACAAGTCTATTAATGCTGGTGTTCCACAAGGCTGCATGCTATCACCAACGCTGTTTCTTCTGCATATCAATGATATGTTGCAAACCGGCAACATTCATTGATATGCAGATGACAGCACTGGTCGGGAAAACGTCTCCGGACTTCCGGGACAAACTTGTGTCTGAAGTCGAGTCTTTGCTGAAATAAGTCTCGGATTGGGGGCGACTAAATCTAGTCCAGTTTAACCCTCAGAAGACACAAGCTTACTTCTTTCTAAAGGGCCGGCGACGCACCTGCAATTCCCCTGGTAATTGCGGTTGATCATGGGCGGCTGTAGTCACTTAACATCAGATGAACTGTATGCTCATTTGCCCCCTCTTCTATAAAAAAACCTGATGGTAAGTGGATGCTGTGGCCCATAGACATCTAAATTGAAATATCTTTAAAGTGTTGCATGTAGATTTTGTTTCTGTGGTATGTTAATATTAATTATTGAACATTATTCATGATTTCCTGCTAATTAGTATCTTAATTGGCTTTGAAACAGACAACATCAATGGCGTTTTGAAGCTCTTTCTGCTGGATATATTCTCCTGCAAGAATGTACTTGTTGGCACATTTTATTGGAAGATATGCCTATGTTGTGTTGGTGCAAGCATCTGCTTGATAGGTGGGAATAAAGTGACATTAGTAATGCTGTTTCTTTACTGGTCCCTACCGGTCATGTGTCTTATGAAGCCATCTATTTTAGATAGCCTGGATATTCAAAATAAATGATTGATTCATGCTTAAAAGAGATTGCCCTTTCAATTTTTTTACATTAAAATAATTGTTCTTGCTTTGATAATTATCAAAAAAAATATTTACTTAGCTTAGCACATCAATATTTTTTTACAATCTCTTTCTCATCTATATAACAGCTTTATACATACTTCTCACCATAGGGCAAGAAAAAGACTGCAATCGCCATACTACTATAGTACAAATTTGCCAACTTTAATATGTCCTCCAAATATTTTTAAGTTCTACGTGCGATTTTCCTCCCAATGTTTCCTTTTATCACTAAAGTGTTTGCTAAATCAAAACATTAAAAGTAACAATTCTAGGTGTGCCAGCTGAGATTGAACTTGGATAACTTGCATATGATTTAATTTCAGGTGCATGCTTTTTAAGCATATTGATATCTCATAACTAAATTTAAAGCAGTATAATATATATTATTTATAATATATATTATTTATAAAATGTATTGTTTAAAGGGAGGAGAACAAGAAAATCAAGTGATGTATAATCACTCTAACTCCAACTCTTCATTTGGAAATTACTACCAAGGGCAAACCTATGGTAATGGACATTCACCTCAAGGTTATGGGCCAAATTCCACACCACAGGCATTTTCTCCTCAAAATTACACTGGTGGTCAATCACAGCCTAATTATCCAGGCCAAGCGGGACCAGGGTATCAACCCAACCCACAACAATCTCCACAAAACTATCAGGGCAATATGGGACATCCCCCTCAAACATACCACGTAAGTTAATTTTTTTGATATATAAATGCAAGTTTTACATTTGATTACTTAATGCTTTTCTTGTGTATTATGATGTTCATAATTAAGTTGCATCATAAATTTAGAAATATCTAAATTTTAATTCTACAAAAAGTTAATGTTTCTATCACTCAAGATATTGGTATGAAATTAGTAAGTATTATATGACTTAAGTACGTGATTATATTTTTAATTATTATATTTTATAACAATATTCCCACTTTGAAAGTGAAACCATTGTTTAGATATTATTTTCCTTTGTTTATTGATCAAATTGCATAGCTCATTTAAACTTAGGAAAATTTACTTCATTTAATGCTCATATTTAAATAAATATTTAACACTACAGGGTGTAACAGCGCAAAGTCCTCAAGGATATCAAGTAAATCCAGCTGCCTCTCCTCAGTCTTGTCAACCTAACATGGCCCAATCTCCTAGAAGCTATCAACCTGCTCAGTCTCCAAGCAACTACCAGTCACCACCAGGCATCTCACCTCCTGGATACAGACAAGTTCAGTCACAGTCTCCACCAATGGGCCCTTCTCACGCAGCAATGCAGTACCATCATTCTCAACAGGTATTATTTCTGTCCGTATTAAATGTAAAGGGTCTAGTAAGATAAGCTGAGTGAAATGGTCTCCATGACTAATTATCATTATAGCACAGTATTAAAATATCACAATCGCTGCAGAAACTGCGAGACATGCTGAGCAGCCTAAATGAATCCTCCCAATGTGTTGGTCTGCATGTGAATTTAAATAAGATGAAAGTCATGTTTAACAGTCATGTCATACCAGATCCGATTATTGTTGATGATGAAATTCTTCAAGTTGTTCAGGAGTATATCTACCTTGCCCAAATAATGCAGATAGATAAAAACAACTTCGAGAAAGAAGCCGATGGGTGGATTCAGTTATGCTGGGCAGCATTCGGGAAGCTTCGTCAGGTCTTTTCGTCTCTCATACCGCAGAGCTTGGAGACGAAAGTCTTCGACCAGTGCATCCTGCCAGTACTCACATATGGTGCCGAAACGGGCGATGGAAAGAGCTATGTTCGTAGTTTCTCTGCTGGATAAGATTTGTAACGAAGAAAGCCGCCGGAGAACCAAGGTCACCGACGTAGCCTTTCATATTTGCACGCTGAAGTGGCAATGGGCTGGTCACATTTATCGCAGAAGCGATAGCCGTTGATGCTGCTTTTGGTACTGATTCTTGAACTACTTTAAAGTAACATACAATGGTTTTTATTTTTTATATGGAACTAAAGCAAATTTCAGAGAATATTATTGGTTTTATCCAGATCTTGCATAATTTATTTAATGATTTGGAAATTAAAATAATAATTTTATGTTTTCAATTTCTATTGTTAGGGTTTCACTTAGTTAATTTAATAAGAATAAAGTTCATTTAATATAGTTTATTTAAGCAATTGATTTTATATTGGTAAATTCTATTTAATATATCTATCAAATTATATTGGAATGGCAACACTTTAGTAAGGGAGGGGATGTGTAATAAAATACTCTCCGATTACTGCTCACACTTTTATTGTGCCCTGAGCCTTACGTTTAAACTATAATTTACACTTATTTGGTCTTATTCTATGCTTAGTAATCGACACAACCGTCTCCCTCCTTCTCGATCCTTCTTACTTAATGGCGTCTTTGCTTCGTGCAACGGACCACACCCCCACCCTTACTAAAGTGTTGCCATTCCAATATAATGAATTAACCAATAAAAAGTCAATTGCTTAAATAAACTATATTAAATGAACTTTATTCTTATTAAAAATCTAAGTGAAAACCTAACACTATTAATAACAAAAACAAACTGATACTTGAGGGCCACTCTTTCCAAAACATAAAAAAGTTCTATGGTTAAAATTCTAATTAGCTATTCTTTTTAAAGAACTCCATTAGCATATTCATACAAAGATTCATGCATCTCAACCAATTTTCGAAAAAAATTTTAGTCGCCACTATTACAGGCTTGTTCGAATGCTGCATCTTCCGTCAGAAAACTTTATCCCTTCCAGTAGTATATTTTAAGGAATAAAAATAAGTCAGAGAATAGAGTAAATGGGGCTCTACACTTTATTGTGGAAAGTCAGAATTTGTCAAAAAGTCACATATGGCAATTTAAAATGCTGTGTTAGTAAACACGAGAGTAGAATAAACGCAGTATAAATGCGGTCGTTAAAGAGTATCTAGGGTTGAATCTGAGTGACAGGGTGAGAAATTGTGTGATAAGGGAAGAGTGTGGTTTGTAAGATAATGCTGTGACTAGGATTAAGAATGGAATTCTTCGGTGGTTTGGTCATGTAGAAAGAATGATTGAGGAAAGGTGACAGCAAATTTTTGTTGCAGAAGTGAATGGCAGTCTGAAAGGGACGTCCCAGGCGAAAGTTTCGACCAAATTGGCGATATATTGAAAATGGACCATATTTAGTGTACCCATAATCGACGAGCATGTATGCGTAGGTATATGAATGTGGAGGAGGCGAGAAATGCGTGTCAGGATTGTGCCAAGCCGAGGGCTTGGACAGGGTGACAGGCATGAGTGTTTATGATTTATTATAAAAATTAACTTATCTGGTGTCAAATCAGGGCTAGTGCCAATCAGGGTAAGAAATTTACCCAAAAGCGTAACGCGTGCTTACCAGAAAGTCCCTTGTTTTGAGGGCTGAGTGATGTGTTGTTATGGTGAATAGCTTGTGGAGTTCAGTCGTTGTTGGTCATAACAGTAAATACTTTGGCAAGCTTTTGCTAATTCATCATTTTGCAGTGATGCTTCTTCGATTTTGTAAAAGAATTGACACCAAATACCCTAACAAAATGAGGAAAATTGCAATCAAATCTTCCCTGCGCTTCTCGATCGCTACACTTTGATATTGATTTATTTTGAAGCAGTTAAACCGTCTACTATCTCTTTGTTTCTAGATTGTATTGATAAATTCAAGATTCATCATCTATAGTTATGTCGTAAACACATCGAAACGAGCCTCCTTACATTTTAGTAATCATGGCATGGCACCATTTTCCGCGAGCCTGGTTCAAAGCATCTGTGAGGTTGTGTGGCACCCAACACCAAACTGTCCTCTTCATAGAAGGCATTCTTGTTAAATCTCGTTAATGCTTCTTGATCTTATCTGTAATCTTAGTATAAATAATTCACCTATTCTCTTCAATTAAATTTTTACTGCTAGCATGTTTACTTTCGTGACAACCTTCAAAAAGCAATCACTTATTTTTTCAACTCTAAAAATTTGTCAGTTAAGCTAAAATTTATTATTTATGATCATGTGTGCTAAAGTAAATTAATGTTATGCAGATGCAACAAGCACATCAAGTACAGCAATATCAACAACAACAGCATCATCCGCAACAAAATCAGCAGCAACAACAGCAGCAGCAGCAGCAACACCAGCAGCAGCAACAACAACAGCAACCACAGCAGCAGCAACAACTCCAACAACAGAATCAAAATTCAAAAAATGAACAACATTCCCCGAATAACAATGGCAATTCTGGAGTGCCTCCACAACAGTCTCCTGAGGTAAATTTTAACATGATTAATTTGGTTCATGCTATTTTTTGTCATAGTAGGATATGTGTGCGATTAATTGAATTATAATAATATTGAAAATATAAAGTATTTTCATTAGACTTACAGTTTTCTTAACTGACTTTTCTTGAATTGCTTCTTTGTTTAGATCATGTGCTATTGAACTACCTATTGAACTCTGCAATTTTTGTAGTAATGCCATAGTTTATTTTGGATCATGCTTTGTTTAAACAATGTCTAATATAGATTCACATATATAATACAGAGTCATATACATATATTGTGTAGTATGCAAATATGACTTAATTTAATGGCAGGTCTTTAGAATCCTTTTTCTGTGTTTTCAGAACTTAATTCACTCTTGGTTTCTTGACATTTTAAAGGACAGGCGATTACCTAGGTAGTTATGAAAGACTAAATATCTAGGTAGTTATGAAATACTAAATATTCAGAGTAATATCATGAAAGTCTGAGGCCTATTTTGGTGCTAACAGAGTTAATATTGTTTATCTTAGCGTTGAATATTTTATGTTTTAGGGAATTAATGAAATATACTTTATTGCACACCAGAAAAACTAGAGAGAGAAAAAACAAATTACTTAAACATGCAATTGGCGGCCTTATCGGTTAGAAGCGATCTCTAACAGGCAAACTTTGCAAAGGATATACTAACCTGTGAGATAGGATAAGGGTAGGTTGTTGGAAAATACAAACGACATAAATATAATTATTTACTCGATAAATACATACATAACATAATAAATAAATACATTTTAATTACAAAAATATATAAGTACATATACAAGAGCAGAAAGGATTAAACATGTAAGTAAAATAAAAACCTTAATGTCATGAAAAATGAGTAGGTAGTAGTTTTTAAAAGAACGAATTCAGAAGAGATGAGTTTGGTGAACGACTCATCAACACATCATGTCCGTTGCCGGAAACTAAACAAGTAACTATGAAACCAGTCAATCACTTTAGGAGATATGTTAAGAGAAGCTAAGGTAGCTAACAGGAGATCAAAATCAACATTGTTAACATTGCTAAAGTCAATTAAGGTCAAAAATTTACATACTGTTTATCCATACCAAGATGAAAATCCTCGGTACTCTTGACTAAGGCAGTGGTCGTACTATGCATGCCCAGCATGGAAACTAGATTGGAAAGGATAGAATAGACTCTGTGTAGATAAGTAGAGGCTAAATTGTTGATGAACTCTATGCTCAAAAATTTTTGAAATGAATGGAATTATATATATGGGGCGCTAGTCAGAGAAACTGGAGGGATTTGCTTTATTGGGTATATAATCTGGGCTTCTTTCCTGAAAATTTACGGACAAAATAGAGTAATTAAAGATGGATTTTATATCAGGAGTCAAGATATCGATGATAGGAATAATCATTTTATGACTAATGGGGACTACCAATAGCATCATAATTAATCTCAACAATGCTTTTCTTAACATCACTCTCAAGTGATGTGATAAAAATAAAAGCAGTGTTGTCAGATTTGAGTAAAGCTGAAATTTGATTTAGTTTGTATTTTTGTGACATCATTTATGGCACAAGAAGTGAAAAGCTGATTAAGCTGGTGTAAGTCAATATTTATATATATTATATATTTTGACTCGCTTTCCCTGATATCATACTCCTCTTCAAGTTTAGATTTACGAATATAGTGTTGTTGTTTATCTCTACACAATCAGTTGCAGTGATTCCTAGCTTTAGCAGAATTTTTCTTAAGTTGTAAATTTTTGATCTTCTGAGTAAGCTGGAGCTGGCAAATGCTTAAGACAGACCGACCAAATTGGAGCATGAATGTTGTAGAGTTGTGTTAAAAGAGAATTAAAGCTATCCACTCTTTCGTCGATATTAGCTTCAGTAAAAGCAACAGTCCAGTCGATCATTGTGGATCATCTCTCAGACGATCTAAATCAATACCACCAAAATTACTTTTAGGTGGTCATAATTTGTGTCGATAAGTAGTAAATCGAGTGGTGATATGAAAATGCATCAGCAGGACTCTGACCATGTTTAGCAACATGATCAATGGAAGAAACAAGAATAAGATCCACAAGAGATGGGGAACAATTTGGAAAATAGTAAGTAGCAGAAAGAGGGAAAATAAAATATGTGAGTTAGCTGCTTGAACTATAGATTTCAATCGTAAGGAGCGCGTGTCACTCTAGATGGCACATGTTAGAATCACAGAAGATAATAACATTATCGGTGAAAAGAAGTATAGCTTCAGTTAGGATTGACTCCTGTTCCATTACAAGCGCAAATTCATTGCAAGTCGTCTTTTTTATGATGTAGCTGCTATAAAAGTTTTGGTGATTAAGGATATCTTTGTTTTACTCCTCTACATATTTTGATCTCAGATCCTATACAATCAAGTTTTACTTGGCTTGTGCTTTATATGCTTGTATGCTTTATATGTTCATGGTATTTTTATAGAGCTTTTCATATTCTGTCATGGGATACAGTACAGAGTCAAATATTTTACATAGTCTAAAAATAGTAGATATTCAGAGGTTTCTGAACTTTATATATTTTTATATGTAGAAACCCATGAGAGCCAGCTTGCTCATTTGGTCGCTGTTCATATATTTGACCTCCTACCCGATTTTTGCAGTCATAATTTGAAAAGTTGTAATATTTAAGGTTTAGGCCTGTTACCTAAAATATAGGTATAACTCGTAGACAGAGAAACCTATAGACTAATGATTAGCGTGGCCTCGAGTGAGAAAGGACGATAACGTAGTTTTAGGTTATACAATAATCTTTTTTTAACTTTTTTTTTACTTTTAAACATATTTAGATAAAAATTTTAATTGTTCTAAGAACTGTACTGAACAAAATTCACCAATCTTAAGCTCACAAAACACTTTTTTCTCACTTAAACCAACTTGTAAACTCCTTAGATCGCTATAAACTGTCAAAGTTGTTTAGCAAAGTGTAGTTTGCTAAACAAAAAAACAGGCACGGAGAAAGGGACAGACAATCTCATCGCTCTGTCTCATTTTTATGCAAGACGTATGCATAAATCTATCTTTTTCGTGTGCGAATGCGAAAGAAGGCGTCAATTTGTCTATAGGTTTCTTTGTCTACGGTATAACTTCACCAGTCTGACAGCGCGATGCGGACTGCGCCGCGGGCGTGCGATCTCGCATGACGCAACTGTCCACAGTTACAGTACCAAATCTCTCGTGTACGTGGGTCGTTATTCGTCATTTTCAAGAAATGTAACGAAACCAGTGACTTGATCGGCGTCACATGTTTCAAAACTAGTGATTTTTGTAACTGGCTATTTTTATTCGGCTACTGTGATTGTTTGCATAAATATCACCACCAACTGCACAGTTACACAGGAAACGAAAATAAATTTAATCACAATCTGTGTTTGTAGCTATACAGTATACTGTTAAATCAATAAACTAACTTCCCTTCATACTTTATTCAGGTTTAGGACTGACTGCATTAAATGTATTTATGATTGATTTGCGTTTACTATGACACTAAGATTTTCATAAAATTATTAATGCAGGCATATTTACAAGTCAATTTGATTGTATATACAATGATTATTGATATTTACAGTTTATTTACACTTTTTCAACGTTTTCACTATCATTTGCTTTTGCACTTTTATTTACACTGTACAATTCATTTGTTTGTTTGGCTATTTACACACAGTTTTTAAGTTTTATAATATTATAAACATTTAAATTTTTTATACACATTTTATAGTTTTATTTTAATTTTATGAATAAACGAGTTCATGACTCCGTCAAAAATGTTTTAAAAATTATTTTAGTTAAATTCAATGTGACTTGCTTCCCGGAATCGCAAACCGTTGAAATTATTTACAAACAGAGATTACTCTATTTTATTGTCTATGTCTATAGTCTTACGTATGAAAATTAAACGTACAATAATACTGTTACTCACGATGTTTTGTTTATTGTTGTATGCCACATGTGCGCTTTGCACTCGACCGACCGACAGTCGACTCCCGCAATAATCATGGTTAACAGTAATCATAATCACGCATTTACAAAAATCACTACTTGTAACATGACTCGAAACTAGTGATTCGGTTACATGCCGCGTAGCCAGTTACTGTATCTAGCGACGTGAAATAACGGCCACGTCTACTCTCATGTAATTGCTTCTCCAATGGTTATACACAAACAACTACAAACTATAAATGAAAAATATTTATTTCTATTGGCAAATACAAAGTGGAATTTACGAAATTAATGCAACGCGACAAAACGAAGGTGAATTTTACACGTTTCATGAAAAAGTATGAACTTAACCTCAAAAGTTCATTGCAAAATAACAAAAGAATGTGAATGGAGTGGACGTTTGGTTATTGTATTGTGTATGTTTGGACATAGGGGTGCCTCACTGTACCCATGGTTGCAATATATGTTAGACAAAGCTGTATGGGAATTAGATCCTTATGGCTTTAAAGAATCTATCAACAATCTATATTAGTTTGCGGTAATTTCAAATTATATTGAATAAAACTAATTTCACGGATCTTATCACCATTAATTATCTTAAAGTCTTGCAATTGTATGCATGGGTTTGGATTTATTTTATTATGTATAGGATCCCAAGCATATAGTAGCACCCACCCGTCTTAATATCTAATATGAGATAATTCTGAATTCACATATTATTACGTGTTTCACTTCATGATTACATTTTTTGAATTCCCTAAAATGAAAGAATTAGTTGTTAGGTATAGGTAACCTTACCCTTTTTTACCTTTAATATGGCTGTACAGCTTTATTCACTTCTATTAAAATTATTTTTTTAGCAAAATGAAAATAGAAGTACACCGTCATGCATTCGCCAGGGTTGCACCAATCCTGCAATTGCTAACAGTGAATGGGAAGATGAATACTGCTCCAACGAATGTGTTGTCAGTCACTGCAGGTTGGTTGAATATTTTTGATAGATTTTATTTTTTATTTTAATATTTATCTAATTACCGGTTAGTGGCAGTGGTAGATAGTTTCATATATGGTAGAGCCATGCTGCAGCTATATTGGTAGAGTATCCCCTCGTCTGCCGGCCGGCCATTTTGCAAATACGTCGCGTCTGCTAGGGCCTTAGCAGGTAATTTTGCGATATCGGCGCGTGGCAATTAAATTAGTAATTTCTCTAAAATATTGTATGGAAGCTATTTATAAAACTTATGTCATATGAATTGTTATATTATTTGCTATTACTCTGTAGATATCTTAGTTGAATACAACTTAATAGATTTTATTAAGCCAATTTCAAAGTTGGAAAACCAAATTTTTAATAGTATTTTGTGCATAATTTGTGAAAATTAAACATAAAAATCATTCTTTTATAAAATAAATGTAATTTATTTTCATCAATATACACTAATTTATAATAAAAAAGCAAAAAAAACCACACATTCCTATATATTTTTACCTCAAAAAGTTTTTTACAATCTTAACACATGAACGGCAACCCAAGCGTCGCACAAAAAATAGCATATATTGTTAGTTTTATTTTGAGAAATGAGCAAGTCAAGTGGCGTACGATAATTTTAACATTAAGTATGGCTCAAGTCCTTAATTTAGACAAAGTTTCATTTCTAAAAAGAATGTAATGTATTTTTAATCAACAATAGAGATAAATGTAAGGTAAGTAAGTATAACGACCGTTTATGTTCGAATTTTTTTTATAAAAAGGATACATATCCCTAAATTATGAATTAAAAACTGTTGGTTATTAACCCTTCTATGTTTGAATAGCACTTAACTTCACTATTTGTTCGATTTAGGAATAAAAATAAGGACAAAAACCGGGACGGGTGACCACATGAAAGTGACGTTCGCATGCGACTGCTACATAGGCTGTTTATTCGAAATTTCTAAACATTGTAATACTTTAGTAGCTTTGTATCGCATCCTCTTTCTTTGGTTTATAATTTTCTATAAGTAAAAGTGTGATAAAAATCATTGTCGCTGGTTATTTTACCCGCCAAATACGCAGTCGCGGATCGGCCAGAATCTGGTCGCTTGCCAGACGCGCGTAATTAACCATCGGCCAGAATCTGGCCGGTCGCCACACAGGGGGTATAGTTATAACATGAATGGGTCGGCTCAAACAGGGAAGTATCACACTCACAAAATATCAGCTTAACACTGCTGTGTATTGTATAGTGAGTGTGGATTCCATCTTTGTCCTTACGGTGACAATGCATCTGTATATTGATTCATAGTGGAATATATATGTAGATGTCTACAGGTCACAACAACTATATACCATCAGGTGGACTGTGTGCTTGTTTGTCACCCTATCCATCGAAAAAAATTCACTACCTCATAATATGTTCCTGTGAAAGTCGGAAGAGGCGACAGTGGGAATCTGAAAAAGGAAAACAAACCAGGAGTTACGGGTAGCGGCGTCTTCCGGATAAAAAACTGTAAAATAAAAATAAAAACTGATTGCCGACCTGCCTAATAATCGTGGAAACTGTGGAAATTTTTGAGGAAAGCAGTGGACTTGATAGGCTGTAACAGTAATAGAATGAAAAAGATAAATTATATACAGTTTTGAAGTTAAAATTAAAAAAAATACAGGTTTACTACAGTATGTTTCTAGGGGAGGCGGAAAAACGTACATTGACCTTTGACGATATCATCGGGGTAGCCAATTTTTTCTTAAGATTGTTTTTTATCCTTGTATCATAAACGTTACATACATAATCGGAGTGATACATAAGACCGCCGAGTGCGAATTTCTTCGTAGGCCTTGTCTGTTATTATATTATGAAGAAAAAAGATTATCCTGTACTTGTACGAGTTAAAATTCGACATTAATTTAAATTTATTATTTATAAATCATATGATTTATTACAATTTTCATTATTACGTTTATAGTAGATAAGTAGTTTAATAAGTATGTAGATAGGTAGTTGTACAAAACATAACTACTTCTTGGCAGTCGGGTAAAAAGGTGAACTTTTAATGCTAAGCATTATTTTTTCGGGTTATCCGAAATATGCGACACTTTCCTCTTCCCGATACCATACCGGTGATAATATACAAGAACATACTATAGATGCTAGGATCCCTGTTCTGGCCTGATCTCTGTCTGGTTTGTTAGTGTGCCCCCCATTGCTGTGCTCACAGTTGGACAGAACAGAGACATTTTTAGTTACAGGCTATGAGGTATTTCATACGAGTTCTCATGGGTGAAAAGGTACATGGACGTCTTTGTTCATACATAGTTAGTTGGTAGTAAGTGGTATGTAACTAAAATACACTATTTCTCCACATAATCAAAAAATAATTCATGGGATTATGTATACGATATTACAAAGAAGTCACAGAAAATATACAAAATCACTATTAACAAATTTAATATTAAACAAAAACTGTATAAAAAGGGTTATTATATATAATATATATATATATATATATATATATATATATATATATATATAAATTACGTGTCACGTTGTTTGTCCGCGATGGACTCCTAAACTACTAAACCGATTTTAATCAAATTTGCACACAGTGTATAGTTTGCTCCTACTTGGGACATAGGATAGACGAATTTAAGGATTTTTAATAGGACATGACAAAGGGTCGTCGAAAAGGGCAGAACAACGTCTGCCTGGCAAGCTAGTGCATAATATGATACAAATGCTTGATGGGAATGAGGTGGTTGCTTCCAAAGCTGTTTCTTAAATAAGTTTTGTAAGTTCTTTGTACACCTTGTGTTTTAGTATTTTTTTTTATTTACATTAATCCATAATTTTATTTCAGAGATGTATTCAGTTCATGGGTGGCTTCTAATACAAACAACCAAATTCAAAACTTTTCGGCGGTGAAGTAAAATGATTTGTTTTTACATATCCAACAATAATTTAAATATTTTGAATCTTCTTAGTATATTATATATAGCATATTTTACAACTTATTTGTTATAGGTATTTATTAATTTCTTTACAATTTGGATGTTAAAACATTTGTTTCATGATTAGCTAGAGATTCATTGTAAAAATATTCATTGAAATTGTTTTATGTTATTTTAAGATTGAAAGTGATACTAAATACCTTTTTCATTAATAATTGTAGTAGACTTGTAAATCCATATAAAACATTAAAAGTATACACTCATAATTCTGTAAGGTTAGTACTAATTTTAAAGGAAGAAAAGTTTTATGATTTTGTTGTTTAGTATTGAATTACATAGAAAAAGAAATATTTCATAACAGAGTAGAAGTTTCTATCGTACTATCATTATAATTATAATAAATATTAACGGAAAAGTACTGATCTTATTATGTTCCTAGAATTTCTAAGCTTTCTGCATAGCCGGTCAGTCTTATTTAGTTAATGTGACCATGATCTTATTTACCTAGTTTTGTGTAAAGATAAAAAATAATTTTGATGTTTGATACGAAACATGGTTTTATCTGTTTTGAATTTTTGTACAATTGTGTTATGCTACTACATTACATTTTATTGCATCTGGAAACTAAATGTGATGTACACTTTATTTTAGTTGTATCTTAACAAAAAAAAAGTGAAGCTTTTAAATTTTGAATTTTTGAATGAAAATAAAATACATCCACAGTAGTTTTTAGAACAAAATATCTAATTTGTAACACAGGTTATGCTCATTCGCTGCAAGCTTCGATGATTACGTATAGTCACCTTAAAATATCAGAACCAAAAACCGGGTTTCAAAATACTTTCTAGTACTTTCTGTTGGAGTTGAAAATAAAAGTACAATTAAAAATACTTGCATAGGAAATTGACCCGTTTTAGCAAAATGAGAATGTATTTTAGTATCAAAATTGAATGTGCGAAAAATACTATGTTTTATTTCCTAAAGAGTCCAAACTGACAAGAGCTGTGTTCCACCAAAATTCATCAGAAATCACGCCACGAATTAGCGAGTTTTGAGTAAAATACTTTCAAGACTTACAGCCTGGCCACAGGGAACGGCGGCGCGAACGGCGAGCGAAAGGCGAGGTGAAAATTCGCGCGGCGCGATTTGAGGGCCACGGGAAGTCACGTTTGCCGCCGCGACCAGATAGGCCGAGAGTGAAATGTCTTTATCAAAGTTATCTCAATATTGCTTAGAAAGTAATTGTTTTTTGATTCAAGACATAATATTTGGAAAAGATTGCGGAGTACATGATTTGAATAGGAATCGGGTTATAAATAGAGAATTCCACAACAAATAGAATGCATAAAAAAATTTCGAGTAAATACCAGAATGAGTGTCGAAACCTGCGATTATATTCTTGTTAATATTTAAACAGAATTGGAGATAAAAGTCAATCCGGATAGAATTTTAAGTTGTTTTTGCCGGCCCGGCATTTTTCGCGGCGAAAACAACTAAAATATTTTGTTCCCTATACTATTCGCCGCGTCTGCCGCCCGACTCCGTGGCTTGCACCGTACTGATTCATACATTTGTTTCATTCGCCCGCCGCGCCGCCAGTCGCCCGCGCGATTCGCCGCGTCGCCATTCGCCGCTACGCGTGGCTTGCTCCATACATTTCTATACATTTGTTTTAGTCGCTAGACGCCTCGCCGTTTGCGCCGCGCGAATTTTCGCTACGGCGAATGTCCCGTGGCCAGGCTGCTACAAGTAGTAACGGCTCTACACTAGATACGTGTCATTCATTCATTTCTACTGATCCGATCATTCCAGTGTTGATTTGTCTTACAAATCAAGCTATCTTTTATGAACTATATGCTCTTTGGTCATACGTCCTGTCAATCGTTTGATCGGGAGCGTTAAAAATCTATAATTGATGCGACCAGGGTCAAACGAACGAATCATTCACGATTGACACATGTCTACTCCATACCTGGTCGGGCTTACTTTGCATGCGAATTCAAAACGTCAAGTAAAATCGCACATTGCCCTAATTAGGTTAATTGACGTATAAATGTCATTTGTTGTTAATTATCTAGTACCATTCTTGTGCGTTTTCTTCACTGCATTTACTACTTTGTATTTCAATTTAAATATCAATATTTCACAACATTGTTAATTGTCAAATATTGAAACATTTATAATAATACTACAGTCTCACTTATTATTTAAATTGAGTTATTTTCTTAAAAAACTGTAAGATTTGTTAAAGTGGTACCAGTGTAAAATACTGTTTCGCCTTAAATCTTTCATAAGGTAACAAATAGTTATTTAAGGTAGAACAATATTATAAGCATTAAATTGTAACAATTGGTTTATAAACTTAAGAAACAGTAGTCTCTCTATTTATTTTCATGTAAGAAATATTATCCTTAATATTTTATATAAATTACATTACTTTGCAATTGTTGATTGCCAAATAAAACCTACTTGATGATGTTAAAGATAATTAGATAAATAATAAAGCACTTAAACCATCATTCTGACCATGCTTATGAGTTTTAGCAGTTTATTTAGAGTTGTTTCTTATTACTAAAAATCTAAAACATATTTGAACAATTCACAACACTAATTTTGTGATTTAGCGATCTTTATATCACGGCAACAATGTAGTGCCCTAGTGTCTACACTGGCTAGTGACTGGGCTCGGCGCTTGCTTTTAATTTCAAATTACATGAAAACATATTTTGATCCCTCTGGCAACATTGAGGTTATTATACTCACAATTTAAATACTAATTTACTATAAACTGCGGTAAAACCATCGTAAAGAAATCATGTAACTTACATGATGACTACATAATACTGTAGATGCCTGTCTATATTTATGATAATCTCTTACTGTACATAGCCGTCAGTATTATTTTATTGGCTTTATAACCATAGTATCTAATAATAATAATTATATAAAGCAATAACAACAAGACAGAGTGTCTTGTGCATACAGTTCAAGAAATTTTTAAAATACGCATTTTATACATATAGTAGAAAGTATCAATTTAAATTGATGTTGATATATTTTAATATCTCAAATTGCATGTATCAAATAATTAAAGAGTGAGTCTTCTGTTACAACTAGGTATACTAATGTATATTACAATTATTACCTACAACATAGCAATATCTACTCATTCCTAGGAGACATGCTTAGTATAGGATTTAGCTGGACCAAAATTTCCGTTATATTGAAAGCGAGGATAGTATTGTAAGGTACATAAATTATCATTTTTTTTTTTCAATGGATTTGTATGACTGTAAATAAATACTTGCAATAATAGATATAGCATTTAGAAATATTCTAAATCATATTTTGATTCTCGATGTAATTTATTTAGTAGTCACATTAGATTACTATGTAAAAGAAAATTGTCTTTACTGAATGTAATATAACAATGTATAAAATGTAATTAGAATGACTTCATTAAATTTCCTAATCTGTACATCTAGTATTATTTAGACAAATTCAAACCTAAACAACCCTACTAAGTAAAAGTCAACCCACTCCTATAAAATAAAGCAAAGTATAGATATTTTACCTATTAAATATTATTATAATAATATGTCTCTTCTCTAAGTTACTTTTACTTAAAGGTTAAAGAACCACTATCTATACTCGTAGAAAAATACCGATATTTTATGCGATTTTATGGCGATATCTATTATATCGATATAAAATATCAAGTATCGAATACGATGTATTTCCAATAGCAACACCGTTGTCGCCCACAAACTAATAAGAGTACTAACGTAGTTGTCGCCTCTGTCTAAAGCTGACTTTCCACTATGGGATATAATATAATTTATATTACATCTCGAGATATAAATTAATATTGCTCATCGTACTTTTAAATGGAACCGTTTCCACTGAGATATAATATTATATATTACATCCCAAACTATAAATATTTTTTCGATTGAGCGATATTTTCATATCATATTTCACCTCCTGTACCCCGCACACCCTTCCGCGCCTCCGCTACGTCCTCAGATCATCCAATGACTAACGCACACTGGTTAAAAGATATACACAGTGTGAAGGGCAATCGTGGGATATAATTTATATTTCGAGATATATATTATATCCCATAGTGGAAAGCCAGCTTGAAACCGCAGCAGATAATCCATTAAAAATTTGGACCGACAGCCGCCATTACACCAGTACGTACTGCTCTTGCATCCTCAGATTCATCACTCATCGGAGAGGAAGTGGCATCAGTTGTTGTTAATCTTAGCGTACCCAAGAACAGTTGTCGACTTTCAAGCGAGCACACGAAACTTAAAGTCTTTCTTTTGTTTCTTTCGGATAAGTATTGATTTGCGTAAGAGCATTAAATTGCATACTTGTTGCACTTATGCAAACCAATATGTACTTACATTAATTTTTTATCATTTTACATTGCTGTCACTTGTTTAACTACCAATGTGTGATAATGTTTCTAGTTTGGTATTAGGAATAGTATTACTGACAGACTTTTTTTAACTATATACTAGAAAACAAACACTAGAAATTCATGAAGTATAAATATTTATTATAAAATTTCACCGATATTTTGAACTTTTTTCCACATATCTAAATCAATATCAATATTTTCTTAAAACATCTATAAGATATATATGGATACTTTTTGGCACTTCCTGCAACCCTACCGCCATCACCGTAATATTACGGGTTTTAAGATTATTACACCCATGAAGGTTAGAGAACAGGAGAACGATCACTACGTACTAAAGCATAGCCCACCTGTCCTTGAAAATTGTAGAATTTATAGCGGCGCTGACGTCGGTTAGTAGTAACTGCGAAGTTTATGAGTACAAGTAGATGCAAGTTAGTTGAATAATGTACAAATTTTCTCCGCGGCATTGGTGAGAAAATTTTCATGCTCCGTAATTTTGTAATTTTTGACAATAAGAAACATTAAAAAATGTTGAAATATTGTATTG